TACCGGAGCAATGCCTCCGCAAACAACGAGGAGGATTATCTGGGCTGCGACTTACTCCTCGGCGCTCGCAGGCGGGGCGGGCGAGGCTGGCAGCACCCCGCGCTGCCCGGGCTGCCGATGGCCACGTCGCTGGCCCAACCGCCGGCCCCACCGCCGCGGCGGAGCCCTCCGCGCCCGGCCGTGAGGGGGGGGGGCGGCTCCAACCCCCTCCTGTGGCGGCCCCCCGGGCCGCTCCTGCCCGGCCACCGGTGCCCGGTCCCTCAGCGGGCTGCCGACACCTGTGGAGGTGGCGAGGGGAAGGAACCCGGCCCCCACCCCTCACGGCCCGGCGGGCGGGAACCGTGCCCCGCAGCCCCTCCCGCCGCGCCCGGGGGACTCGGGGAGGTTTGTGGGTTTTTTTTTTTTTTTTGGGGGGGGGGGGCACGGCCCCGCCGCCCCTCCCCGCCCGCCGGCGAGCTGCCGGCTCTTCTCACCTGCCACGGCGGCGATGTCCCGGAGCGCCGCAGCCCACAGTCCCAGCCAGAGGAGCCGCGGGATCGCCATGCTCCGCTTCAGCTCCATCGCTCCCGCATCCTTCCCCCCCACCTCAGCTCCCGGCGGGGCGGGGGGTGGCGGTGGCGGTGGGGTGGGGTGTCCCCCACCAGCCCGCGCAGGCGGCGGCAGCGGCTGAGGCAGCCGGACACCCCCCGGGAGGGAGGGGAGGCTGCGAGGACGCTCAAACTTCTGGCTGATGCTGCGGCCGGGGGGGGGGGTGACGGCGCGAATGAGTCGGGTCGGGTCGGGTCCGGGCGCCGCCGGTCGGTCGGTCGGTCGGTCCGTCCGTCGGTCGGTCGGTCGGTCTCCCCCTGCCGGCGCGCGGCCGCCGCCCGCCCTCTCCTCAGCCTCTCTCCTCCAGGAAATGGCGCTCTCGGGCGGTCACCGCGCGCTTGTGCTCCCCCTCTGACATCACGCTCATGAATATGCAGGAGCCCGGCGCCCGCCGCCCCCGAAAGCGACGAATCACCGCCCCAACACCCCCCCTGCCCGCTCCCCCCCCCCCCCAACCCCCAACCCCCAACCCCCATCCCGTTCCGCAGCCCCCCCAGGACACCGGACCCCGCCGCTCCCCGCCCCGCGCCATGCAGGGGGGTGGGGGGTAGGGGGTGGGAGGGGGGGGTTTCTGGAGGCGGTGACCCCCCCTAAACACACACACCCCACACCCCCCCCCCCGGGGCCGCTCCAGCGGGCGGCCTGGTTTCCAGAGCGCCGGGAGCGGGTGACCCACATCCGCGGGAGCCGCCGGGGCACCGGGCGGGGGCGGGAAACCAGGTCGGTTATTCCCCTACCTGCGTGTGGACGGGAGCAGGAGGCCAGCCCGGCTCCTCAGAAGACCCCCGCGCACCCTTCACCCCCCCCGGGGGACCGGGGCTTTGGGGCCACCGCCGGGGCTCGGCCCCCTCCAAACCAAGGCTCTGCCCGGATGAGCAGCACCTCGCCTCACGGACGCGGCACCCTCGGCCCCGTTTTCCCTGGCTGGCCCTCTCTGGCTCCTCGCCTCTCCCCACCAGCTGGAGCCGGGCTCCGGGGGTGCCGGACACCCCATCCCGGTGCCTGATCTGTGGAGAAGCACCGGCAAGGTGAGGAGATGCACCCGCTGCCCTTCAAGCGGGATCAGATTGGCCCTGCCCTCTTTTCCGCTAGTGGAAAAGTAGGGAGAGATCTGAGGAAGGAGATCTCTGCTGCCACAGAGTTACTAGCACGGCGTGGAAAAAGTCACCGACAAGCAATTAAAAAAAAAAAAAAAAAAAAAAAAATCTGACACTGCCTTTTTGTAGGAGTTATAGTGAGAATCTGGGTTGAAAGGCACCATGAGGAGCAATATCATTACGACACGATGCAGCTTTCAGCTTTGCCACGGCCACCGGTGTGCAACACTTGCCCAGCGACTCCTGCAATGCTCCGTAAATCTGGCTAAACGGAGCAGCGCGGGGAAACCGCATTATCCCCATCAGCGGGATGGAGAAACTGAGGCACAACAAGCTCACGTAATTCCCTCCCCAACTCTGATCTTCTTCCTCCCCCCCCTCAGCCCCCCAGCCATATGCATTTCTTATAGGAATTCCTAAGCGACTGGAGCAACGCCAAGAAGATTTCATGACTGGAATGGAAATGTCACTCCCTGCCCAGTGCCTCCCGATGCGATGAGGTGACCGGGAGGAGACACTGACTAGCCATTCACCCGAGAGCTTGCGGGAAGCCTGGGTGCTCTCGGGGCCAGGAAATCGTGACATGGCTCTCGTTGGGATCACGACGGCTCTGGGGCTGGTTGGTTCTGCGCCGGTGTCTGCTAAAAGCTTCACGCGCACTTGCCTGCCGTCGCTGCTCGCTCTCCCCCGTGTATCCATATATACCCGTCTATCTGGGTGCGTGGCGTGTTTCTGCACTTACTCATAGCGATAGCGCCTTCCAGAAAGCAGCTACTTTTGCAGGTTTTGGTTGTCTCATGAGAAAAAACAGTGGCCGTTAGCATAACGCTGCGTTTCTACTGCGTTTTCCTTCTAAGGATTTCTTCCAGTCATGTAATTACAGAGGCTTACAACACTACACCGGCCCCGTGGGCTCAGGGAACGCGCCGCTGTACAAGCAGGAGAGAGGAGGCATGGGCAAACGCTGTGATTTGGCCAAGCCCGTCCAGGGAGGCAGCAGCTGAGAGAGGCTTGACTGCATGCTGCGTGCCCGGAGCACGCCTCTACCTCAATGAGCATGGTGTGCCTCATCTGAATGTCATATATGATGCTCCCAGAGGCTTTGGGAAGAGGAAGAAGGGGAAGGGAGCTTTCATCTGCAAAGAGGAGTACCCAACAGAAAGTTGTAGCGCGGCACAGGCCAGACTCTGGGCTGGTATAAGAGAGCAAAGCTTTGCTGGAAGCAGTAGACCAAAGGGAATTTTCCCCAGCGGGGGATCTGGCTTCAGCTCTTCTGAGAAGGGCTTTGTGTCAACAGTGATAGGCAGGAAGAGCCATACGAAAATTGGACTGAAATCCTGCACACACTGCCAGTTGGAGTGCAAACTGCTGTGGGAAAACTTACAGAGGAGTGTAATACCGCCATGCAGAAACCAAAGGAACTGGTGAATCTGAAATGCTTTTCGGAACTGAAGACAAAAAAACTCTCTCGGCCTCTCGTGCCACTGAATTAAGCAATGTGGCTTTGTTCTACAGGCTGTAACACCAGTGGCAGTGCTTGCTGCTCACATGCACAGTGGCTTGTAAATAAGCCGGTGCCTTCCTGGCTTATGTCCTTTTTTTTTTTACTTCTGCTGATGTGGTAGTGTGTTGTCACATCTCACCAGACTTGTTGGGCAGTGTAGGCGTGTTCTAGAAAATGCCCGAAGAGCTGCACAATAATCAAGAGGTGAATTCCCAGTGCTGGGAGACTTCTGGAGACAAGGGAGAAGGAAAAAGGAAGAAAGGGAGAGAGGCGGGGGAGAGAGAAAGCAGGAAGGAGAGAAGTATTTGCTGGACTTGCTCACTTTCCTCTGCTGTTCAGCCTCTTCGAATTATTGAGACCCAACAGGGCAAGGATGGGTTATCCCAGTGAGACAGCACCCCAAAACACCCATTTCCACATGAAAAGCCGTAGCCCTCAAAGTTCAGCACAAGCTGCTGAGGCATGCCACTACTCCGTTGTCGAAGTAGCCAGTCTGCAGTCAGATACCAAATCCCTGTGTTTTGTACAGGGAGGTTTCCTAGAGCTGCCTGGTCCACCAGAGGCTACAACAAGTGATGGGAGGGAGCCCAATGTGGGGGGGGACTTTTGCAGCTTAGGGATGGCTTCTCAAATAAATGCCCCAATGTTGGGCCAGAACACAGGGTGTGAGTAAGCAGAAACCCTCTGGGCTTTCAAAACCCTCCCAAGGACACAGCTTGAGAGTTGCTGGATATTGCAGTGGCTCTTGAGGATACTGAAAAGGTTAAAACCAGGCATAAACTGTCTCCATTCTCTGCCCAACCCATCATAATAATGGGATTTCCAGAGCTTGCTCATGTCAAATAATAATACTGTTTAACATGGCCACTTCTGAGGACCCAAATGTAAGTCTCCATCTTGAAACACGTATGGGACCTAACTGGCCATGCCAAAACCTTGGACATAGTATTTAAAGCCACAGGTGGCTGCAGCAGCTCACAAGAAGACGGAAACTCATCCTGCCTGTGTCTGGGCTCAGCTTGACATAACTGAGTTATGCTGCTCATTTGGGAATTATCTTAGCTGCAGCTGAACTCTGTTCTCTTTTAATTTGTATTATTCTACCATCTCTTCCTTTCTTCTTTCTTGTCTTCCTCCCTACCACCTCCTTCAGTAAGAAACCGTGTTGAAATCTTCCAGCCTCTCTGTTTCGTGAAGTTTCAGCCTCCTCCAGCTCTTACATCTTCCATATGTGCTGGTTTTAACTTTCTGTGTGAATGAAGATAAGGACAGGGAACCATATTAAAGACTTGCATCTACTTCAACTTCAGCATACAAGTAAATCAGGGATGAGTCTGAGCTCTGAGTTCAGTCCTGATCCTTTCCTAGTTCCCAAACTCTCCCAGCTCTGGCTGGGGGTGGTAGGTGGCACGGTGTAGATGGGGGACAAGGGCTGGGTCACTGTAGGGTGGATCTAAGTTTGGATTTTTCTCTGAGTTTCAATGTTATCCAGTTTGGCCCCAGCCCAACCATAATCATTACCCTGAGCCCAAACCTGGTTCCTCCATGTGTCTGGGATGGTTATGTTTTTTTAGAGGTGATAAACTAACACATCATCTGTGTTATCTATCTTTTGTGATAAATGCCAAGCTGTCAGAATGAAAATGTCACATAAATCATACATAAAGTATTTACATTAAAACAGATTGACTCATACGAATTTAAACGACCTTTCTGATGGTGCCATCATTTGCAGCAGGTTAGCTAGGTACTGACACTGTTTCAATTTCTGGAGTCGAAATAAACACAGCACGTCAAAACAGAGCCATCAAACCAAAACAAAATGTATTTAACATGGTGCAACAGTCAATGCCGTAAGAAATCACCATATAAGTATGCAGAATTATATATAATCTACACATACTAATATGACTTTACAAATCTTGTATTACATGTAGATACACACAGAACAGACTTGGGAGGAAGCATGTGTTGGCAGCCCCTCTGAGAGCTGGGTTTCTTACCTACTTGCTGTAGGATGTGACAACACTTTGCTTTTGAAAGTGACTGTATTGCGATCATATTGCATTCTCCTGTGAGTCACGGTGGGTAATATTCTCCACCATCCACACGATAAAATGGTACGGGGCTTGCTCAGCATATGACCATCCCTTGTGGGACGGAGGTTTGGCAGGTGCGAGGTCCCTGGTGGGTTCCTCAGTGTGGCCATAAGCTTCTTGGGTCTGTCCCTGGCTGTCGGGGGGGTCACTGGGTGGGCCAGGAAGGCACAGAGTGCAGCAGTCCGCTCCGCTGGGACCGGACACCTTCTGGGTTTGGCATTGCTGGGACTAATTCTGGAAGGTGCTGTACCTGCTCCGGGGGAAAAGCCTGGAGCCCCAGCAGGAGCAGCCAGTGGGGCTGTCTCCCAGCTGTGCTCCCTGCCCAGGGCTGGGGTGGCACTGCATCTCGCCCCGGGAAGGGGGGAAGGCGGCAGTGGGCTACCGGCCAAAAGCCCTCCCCAGGGCACATGTAAAAGCTGAAAGATCACACAGAGCAGTCCTGCAACTGCTCTAATAGACGCTGTGGGTGGAAGAGCTTCCTAACAACTCCAGACTGTCAGTGGGAGGGTTAATGCTATATTTACCTATTACCACATTTACCTTTCCCTCACCAGCCCCTTCCCTTTGTCCAGCCCCTGCTGCTCTGAGCAAGTGGTAGGAATGAAACGACCACAAACCAGACCCATAGTCCTAAAAATAGTGGCACTAACAGGGTACTGATCTACATTACGGCTCTCAACGATTACTAACAGGGGTGGAGCTGGACAGGGTTAACTACAGCTGGAAACGCAGCAGTGTCTCTGCTGCAGAGCAAGCAAGGCAAAGGGAGCAAAGGGCTTTATTGGTGTATGTCACTGCTCTGGAAAGAAAGTCCTCAGCACTTCTCAGGGGTGTAGTCTGTGGCTGTGTCAGCAGTTAGTGACATTTGTGCCGTGAATACCTTATTTTTGCCCAATGGAAGGCAATTACACCCTGAAAGACATCCTCATGGGCAAAACCCTGGAAAAACTGGGAAGCGAAAGTGAGAAAACTGAAAAAAAAAAGGAAGATGAGGGTAAATCCAGAGGAGTAGAACATGAAGAAAGGAGAGAATAAATGACAGAAGAAGAGAAAAAAGACTGGAGTAAATAAAATACACTTTAAAAGCACCTTGTCTGGGGTTTGCGGGACGTGACTCAGCGCCTGCAGATCTGAATTCTCCTTCTGACTTGACTGCCTGGCCGTGTGCCTTTTGCTTTGCTCTATCTGGGTTTCTTACCTTGCAGGGCACCCAAGAGGGAAAATATACTGCAAAGCACAGGCTTTATAAATCTTCCAGCGGCAACAGCGGTCAAATGCTGTGACTGAAATGTAAAAAAAAGACTGTGGGTGGGATGGGAGGAGAGGCAGGGAGCTGAGGAGCAGAGAAAGGGTGAGGAGTGAAAGAGTGAAAGGAAGAGGGGAACAAACGACTAGGGAGACCAGGTGAAGGAGGGCGAGAAGCTCTTGGAAATGAGGTTGGCTGTTGGTGAGAGCGACTACGTCCTCTTGCAATGGCAGGGGGAAGAGCTGAAGCTCGTCCTGCTGACTCGCTGTGGAGACCAAGGCGTGCAGGCTCCATGCCGGCGGCACCTCTGCAAGCGCTGTCCCGGGGCAGAGGAGCTGAAAAGCCACGGAGGCCTGTCACAGAGAGGTTTCTAGACAGGAGGAGCGCCTGACGTAGAAATGCCGCCCGTCGTGCCCCTCCGGCCTGTGCACAATCAGGACGGGGAAGAAGCGGGCGTCGTGGTAGGTCGGGGGGTTTTCGTTGACAGCCAGCTGGCTGGAGTAGGAGCAGCACTGCTCGTCCTGGCAGCCCCGCTCCGCGATGCTGCTGCTGCGGCTCCTCCAGAGGCCTGTCCTGTGGGAGCCGTGGACGCGGCAGAGGGAGAAGCGGCTGGTGTTGAGGGAGAGGCGGGAGTTGCCGCTGCAGCTGTGGAAAGCGTGGCGTGAGAAGATGGAGGAGGTGCTGGAGGCACGGTTGCAGCGTTCGCAGCCGTGGGCCGTTTCGCCGTACCGGCACACTGTGTAGCTGTTGTAGGCCGGGGAGTCGGCCAGGTCCATAAGCATGGCCTCCGAGTAGCTGGGGATCAGCTGCCGGTTGGTGCAGATGTGCCACTCCAGCTCGGTGCTGTCCTGCGTGGCATCTCGGGGCATGCGGTACCGGTACAAGGGCTCCTCCGCTGCCACGGGCGCCGTGTACTCCAGGCCCAGCAGCTTCTCCACGTGGTAGTGGACGTAAGCAGTCCGATACTCTATGAGTACCCTGAGCGGCCACGAGATCATCAGGATGGCTGACACCCAGAAAGCATAGTGGGACACGTACCACGGGAGGTGATCCGGGTCCCCGTAGGCCATCATGAGGTCTTTAAAGTCCACGTTTTTGAGCTGCATGCCTTCCCTCACCTCCATGTAGTCATCCAGCCCCTCGATCTCTGTGAAGAAGTGAGCCCTCTGAGTCAGGTAAGAATTCTCAGACTCAATGTTGGCAAAGCTGAAGCACTTAGTGAACCTCAGCTTGGTGGCTGTGTAGCTTTCCAGGCCCAGGAGCTCCTTGGAGATGTCCTTGTATCCACAGTGAGAGTAGTCAAACTCAGCTTCAGCCACGTGGGTGTTGACCCTCTCGTGATAGACTTGCGTGGTGGTGTAGGCATCTCCATTGCGGTACCGGGTCACCTGCCGGGTTCGCCGCACAAAGTGGTAGCTGATGGCCTTCCACCAGATGCAGGGAGTGGCTTGCTGCATGCGGTTGATGCACTCATAGACACTGTCCACATCTGCCTTGTACTGCAGCTCTCTCTTGACGTGGCAGTGCCAGCACTCCACCAGGTACACCACGTACAGCATAGAGAGGAAGGCCAGTGGGATATAGACATAGCCATCCGAGCACGGGCTGTCATGGTAGACCATGGACTTGCCCTTGAAGGAGCTATCAAAGCTGAGCTTGGTGACCCGAGCCAGCTGACACCAGGCCACCGCACCCAGGCAGCCGTACATGAGGATGGAGAGGAGAAGGCATTTCCAGTGGGACTCTCGGCACATGCAGGCGCTCAGGGACTGCTTCACGGGGCGTTGCTTCAATCACACCACCAGGGAGGGGGAGAGAAAGACAAAGAGAGAGCGAGGAACCCGTCAGTCACGCCGCTTTGCATAACGCACACAGTGACTGTTGCCTTCAAGACTATGTCTGGCTTTGCTCTTGACCGCCTGAGGACTGGGACACCACCCTACTTAATATAAATGTGAATATAAACAGAATCACCGTGCCAGGGACAGAGGTCTCTGGAAAAAACCCCTTCCTTGCTTCCTCCTGGCTCTGGGGAGAGAAATTGTTTGCACGGCAGCGACTCGCTGTGCCCGCGCCCCAGTTGGACGGGCCCATCCGCAGCGGGCGAGATGGGTCCCCATCTCCTTCTCCGTGCCTGGAGCCAGCATCACCTACGCACCCTGCCATCTTCCAAGGCTGAGAGGGCTTCGCAGAATGTTAACAGCCGAAAGTGTGGGGCTGTGGATGTGACCCTTTGCTTTGCAAGTGCCCAGCGCCGGGGTTCCCACCCAGTGCTGCTGGGGAGATGCAGGAGCAGCGTCCGGCAGCCCCATGGGTTGTGCCAGCACAGAGGGACCAGCACTTTGTGGAGCTGGAGCTGCTGCCTGACTCCGAGCTGACTCACACCCAACCCTGAAACCTACCAAATGATCGACACCATTTTCCTTGGAGGTGAGCCATCGGGAAAATTACTAGATTCAAGTACATTTAGTTGAAAAAATTGTCAGGATTACAGCACAGTGCAGCATAGCTTCAGGCTGGTTAGAAGACTAACTCCAACCTAAAATACCTGAAAGCTTAAGCTTTGGAGCTAAGGGTGTATGCGTGAATATTTAGCACATCCCTCTCTTTCAAGTTCCGAAAGTCGGGCTGGGAGTAGAGCTGGAGTTCACACTCTCGTACTCCCACTGCGTCCCCTGAGATGGCATGATTGCGGTCCTTACCCCAGCCACGGTGCAGTGAATCAGCTGCACTGTCATGCTATGTTGGGCTATAATAAAAAATGCCAAATTGAGCCAAGCAGCTAGCAGAAACGGAGTTGTCTCCCTGCAAAGAGCAGCAAGCAGCATGAATTACATTACTGGCTGGCAGCCGCCTGTCTGTAGAAAGTGCGTAAAGCAAGACCCCCCGCTGCCCTGGTAGGTAACGCGGAGGGCTGTCTGCATCCCTCTTGTTACTGCCATCCCCTGCCTCCCCCCTAACTCTGAGGAAATGACAATGAGAAGAAAGATACACACTGATATTCATGCATCATCATGCCCTCTGCCGAGACTGATTTCATGCAAAAATAGAAGCACACTGTTACTCCTTCTCCCAAGGGGCCACCTCTAATGCATCCAACTGCTCCGTAGATGCCAACAGATGTCAGGTTTGGGAAACGTCTTCTCTTTCTTTCTCCATGGATAAAGTATTCCCCTAGTATAGCTTATCTTGGACCCACAGCAGTAACTAATCTTGAGCCAGCAAGGAATTTAAGGAACAGCATCTTACTGCTCAGGAAATAATAACATCGCACCACTAGAGACAAGTTTACTGTCTTCTCATGAGATGGAAGCATTGGCATCTAACCTTGCAGGGCTATAAGGTCAGATTTAACACTGCTTTTTTTTTTTTTTTTTCCTGTTCCTGGGACAGAGAACCATTTCTAAGTAACTATAGAGGGTTTTCTGGCTTGCTGTGAGCACTGCCAAACTGGACTTCTTGGGGTTTGGTTTTGATTTCGCAGCTTCTAATCTGACACTGTGTAAGTGCAGAGTAATATTATTGATTTTAGGGAGCTACACCAGTGTTAATCTGCAGGGACTAAGGACAGAATCTGGCCCCCAATTCTTCCTGATGCATCCAGCAGGAGTCTGTACAGAATTTCTATTCTTATCTCAAACCTTTTGTATGTGTGTATGTCAGAATAAAGAATAATTATACTGGGCTGTATTCTCTTTACAGTGGTCAAAATAGGTGTAGAGAAGCTAAGTGGGTTATAAGGGACACTGCATAAATTTTCTGTAGCTAGGGAAGTGAAAAGACCTTAGTATGGATAAGAATAAGGCTGATTTCCACAGCCTTTTGCAGGAAACCTTGAAGAAAGCCACAAAGTGGCTTCAGGCTGCCCCCAGATCAGCCAAAAAATAACTATGGGAGTTTTGGGGGGTGAATGTCTGGGTCTACGTGCAGTCATGGAGAGTTCAATCTCCTCAAACTCTTATCAAACACCCATCACTCCGTCCCAATGTGGTTACTGCCTCAATGTAGGATTCTGCCTCAGCCATACACTGGAGCCCAGGTCAGAGCCCTAGGCTCTCCTGACTCGTGGGAACTCCACTGGGAATCACAGTCTTCTATTCTTTGTCTCTTCTTGACATGGAACTAGAGTTTTCAAGTGCTATAACAATGCAAAAATACAGACTGTAATGAAGGACAACAGGAATTTAAGTCCAGACTCAGGTTTCCACAGGTACTTCTCATGTAAAATTCCGTAAGGTTAATACTGTGAAGAATGCCAGTGGACCCAGCAAAAGATGCCCAGCAGTCAGTTTTAATGTCAGGCAAGTGCTTAAGTCCTCCATGCAGCTCTGGGAACCCAGGTTTTCGAAGCGCTGTCAGCCTGGACCCAGGCACAGCCATGCAAGAGGGCTGGCCCATGTCAGTTAAGGTACTATTTGCCAAAGGCGCTGCAATCCCTACCTTCTCTTTATCTCGCTGCCCTTGACTAACAACTCCTCTGCTCTCTGCAGCTCTGTGGCTCAACTTCCAACCCACAGGCTGGCCTCTGCCCAAGGGGTGATTCAACCAGCCCTGCTGGTTAGGGCTGTCAGTGGCCATATCGGAGCGGGCAAATGCCTCCTAATGTGCTTAGCTCCATGAAATGCCATCTCCCCTTCGGGGGAAGAGATGGCTCTGGTCTCACCAGACCTGGAGCAGCACCGGACCGGGCTGGCAGCAGCTCAGAGGCTTACAGGCCTAAGATGACATTTTTGTGTGCATCCTCTGGAGACACTTCAGAAATGTTCTTCAACCCACTGCACTGAAAGGGCTGGATCAGACCGAGCCAGGTTACCTCCACTATTCTCACTGCAGCCTGTAAAAAAGGCTGCTTCTCTCCTCCCTGCGTCAGTGAAGACATGCAGCCATAGAGCCCACTGCCGCATCTCTCTGATTCACACACCTACCAGACCAGTTCAGCAGAGCCTTCATGTTCAAAACCCTTTGGGAAAAACATGGTTCTTTTCTCTCAGCTCTTCTGACCCACTGCCTCATACCCTCCTTTGTTCCTGAGCAGATCCCACTCTCTGCAGGTCCTCGGTTATAAAAGGATCTCTCTTGCAGGGTCTACCCCCACATCTGCCTCTCCTATTTCAAGTTCTGAATACATTCATCTGGCTTACATACCCTTATTTCTCCTTTCCTTTGCTGAAATAATTATCTAACACAATTATACTATTAGAAACACTTATGAGAGAGTTTGTAAGAAAGACATGAAATAGAACATAATTACAATAAAAGTATCAGACATTCAAAAATCTAATAAGGAAATATATCTTTCCATCTCTCTCTGCATAACAAATTCATTAATATGTTAAACCAGTGGCTCCCAGACTTTATTAATTAACATACCACCTTCTTGCAAGCATGATGTTTGTGGTACTACATGGAATTTTCTCCTTTCTGTGTGTAGTGTTTGAGATTGAAACAGGGCAAGCTTGTATTTCTGGATGAGTACAATAAATGCTTAAGGAAACTAATAATTTCCATGATAACTTGGGCCAGCCAGTGAACGGGAGTTGTGTCCTTTGAGGAATGCTGCAGGATCTGTGTTGTTTTGATGCGGAACAAAAGTATAACATCTGGAAAATGTTAATAGAGAAACATAATTGAAGAAAGCAAAGACAGAGAGCCTGACTGAAAGCCAAAGCCAAACAGAGACTGACCCAGAATAGACGGAGATTCAGTCACCAGGCACTTTGCCTGCGAGCTAGGACTTGCGGATTTGGGTCTCTAACCCAGATCAAGAGAGGTGTCCTTCCTCTCCTGCTTGCTGGGGGCTTTGCTTTGGGCTTTGCTTCCAGCTTTGACCTGAGAAACCTCCTGACAGAAGATTAAGTGAGACCCAGGTTGCCCAGAGAAGTTGTGGATGTCCCATTATTGGAAGTGTTCAAGGTCAAGTTGGATGGGGCTTTGAGCAACCCAGTCTAGTGCAAGATGTCCCTGCCCATGGCAGAGGAGTTGGACTAGATGACCTTTGAAGGTCACTTCCGACGCAAACTGTTCTGTGATTCTACAACCACTTCTGTCAAGAGGGATGGCTTTGCTAAATCAAATGTTTCACCCAAAAGGTCCTGACCAGCTCTGATGACAGTACAAATTGTAAAAATCTCCTGGTTCAGATGGAATGCTGTGAAGAAGCACAACTGAGCTGTGAATATTATTGTTTATGAATTTCAAGTCATGTTAAAAACACATGCTGTAAATAACGTCTTGCTACACTCTGGCATGCTGCTGAACAGCTTTCAGAGGCCTCCCTTCTCATTGCACCTGACTGGATTGGACACTGCTGCTAACTCTCACCCAAACTACCCATAATCACAAGCCAACATTCACTTTATTCGTCCACACTTATAAACAACAACAAAAGAGTATTTCACAAATTCTTTAGTAGATCTCAGCACAAGTAAGGAAAACGCCACGGGCAAGAGGTGGCAAGTATGAGGAGGGCTGCAGATGCCCGTGCTGGGAACCTGGTGGAGAGGGCTAAGATTTGGGGACAGCCCTGCCCTGAGCTGTCCCTGGCCCCAGGCAGTCAGCCCTGCAGCGCTGCTCCATGTCTGCATTGGGATTTTTTGGCCCATCATTTCCAGAAATCTCAGGCAGAGTGAAACGAAGAGGCAGCTCCACATCCTCCCATGGTCTGTTTTCTGTCTGGTGGCGTGGAGCCTTCCGAGACACTAAATGATAGATGCTATTTAATTTGTTGCAGCAGTTGCTGGAAAATAGTCTGGAAAGCCCTAACTGCTGATGGAGAACTGGAATTTCAACTGACACCTGTAGCAGACAGGAGTTTCCAGGCTGGCAACATTTCGATTATTTCTCCTTCAAGAAAGTTCTGTGCAAAACCTGCAAATGATAAAACATCCAGGCAATGGCTGAAAGGGCAATTGTCTTCAAAGACACCTTCGCATGGCAGATACCCAAGATCAAAAGCAGGTATGGAAGGACTGGAGTGGAACCTCCCTCGCACAGGCACACCCACCCAGCCCTCGTCCTGGCTCAACGGCAGCCAGGTTGGGTTCTGGCTGCAGCAACCATAATTAAAATCATTAAAACGTGCTCTGTGTTGTAGCAGCATGCAGATTTTGGCTGTTAATCAAGCCTAGTGTAAAGGGGTGGAGAGAAAGCAGAGGGAGAGTGCACAGCCTGGTATGTCCCTTGCTCAGCAGCTGGAGCCGAGCGTGCTCTGGTGGCAAGAGCACGGGGCTGGTGGCCAGGTTTTTGGCTCTCTGACCAATCCCTTGACTCCTTGCAAGCGACCAACATTAAGACGTGGGCAGGTGAGTTGTAGCTGGTAACCATCCTAAGTGAGCCTGCAAGCAACTGCATCGGGGGTAGCCAAGAATACAAAAAAATACCTCTCCTCAAACCCCAATTTCTCCTTAAAAGGCATATTTGATATGTAAGATGGATGCTAGAGAACCAGAAAAGCATATTTCTGGGTGAGCAAATTGTGCTTGTGTGTGTAGGTCCCTTCCTCTTGACAGGTACATAAGAACTAATGAATTTCCTGGGGCACAGGTGAAGGTGGTCTGGGTGTCCCCCTTCTTCCAAGGAAGCCCCGCCATTAGCAGGAGGAGGAAGGGCCATGCTCAGAGAAGCCCAGACTGATTCCACCAGCCCAGGTTTCTGGGTGCCTAACCTGAAACTCCAGTGCTTCTGTTTTGCCAGTGATGACTCGCTGCTTTTGCTGACCTCTGGATAGGAGTAGGCCTGATAGCAGGACTCACCCACTAACCACGTGGCTGTCCCTCGGTGACGGCAGGGATCCTTATGATACAAGAAACAGCCAGACAGTTCTTTAGCACTTACAGGTAGTCACAGAAATTTCTCCTAACAACTTTGCGAGGCTGTTCTGGCTGAGGGAGGTTCAGCAACTATTACAACTCAAACTACATTTACACTTTAAGACTGGGAGACACTACACCTTCTCCCTGTAGCTCCTGTATCTCGCAGGCAATGCAGTTTCACTCTACAGTCTGATGTACAGCCCAGTAACTAGTGGTTGGAAAAAGCTCATCTTCCATAAAGACACTCCGCTTTAACTGATAAAGTAAAACAAATGAAGAACCTGCAGTTCCCTCTGTAATTTGTTCTGGTGATGAAATTTTACTGCCATTGTAATTATGTCTCACTTCAGCTCCCATTCATGGGAGCAGGGATGCCCATTCTCCAGATGATGAAAGACTTCTTTCATATGACTGCCTTCTCTCTGAAGATACTTCTCCGTTCTAATTATGCACCTCTTGGCCTTCTTTTTGACAATTTGAATGGGTCAAGGTCTTGAAGTCCTCCACTGCACTGCCCTAGCTCTTTTGGTGCTTGAGATCCTTCCTAAATGTGTTCCCTGCAAGTGGATACAGGACTTCAGCACTTATTTCATTGGCATCATACCAAAACATAAAATCGCCTCCCATTCCCACTCATTCCCCCTTTTTATTGTCTCCAGGAGTTGCATTAGTAGATTTTTGCTCAGCACCACCCTGGGAGTTCATGTTCAACCACTCACCCCACTTTGTTCCCAGGTATATTTTGAGCCCCTGTTTCTGAGTACAGCTGAAGGGTTGGCTGCACTCTCCACCCTGAAATGTGTAAATTCAGATTTGGCTTTGGATTGAATAATGAAATTATCAAATGAAGCAGATCCCTCTGTAGGACTGTGCTTGACAGACCAGCCTGCTAATGTTTGTGCCAATTGTAAATGTTACCAGCAGTGATTTTATGCTTAATTCCAGTGGATAGTGTCAAATCTGGTAATTATTCCTGCAGAACTCTGCCAATCTAATGGTTAAATACCCATTTAACTTGTACAAGACGACTGTCTTCACAAAGCTAAGTGTCAATCATAAGAACAAGGCTGTGGGCATTATGTGGACATCAAGGTGCTCCTCACACTTCCAGTGCTCGCTCCCAGGAGTAATCCCACATGCAGCTCTACATCCAATACTAAGAGAAGCCCTCCCAAAGCTTCAGTGGAGCACATTATCACCTTCCTTGCTGTTGCTGTACGCTTTTCATCAGTAGCTGTGTTTTATTCCAGAAGTAGCTGTGTGGCAGCGTGGGCTTGAAGCACCTCTTCTTTTTCTAGCCGTCTCAGTACTGCTTAAGGTATGCACATGGTTACAGTGACAATGATAAACCTGCTGTTCTGTCCACTTCTGATTTTGACTGGCAAAATAAATTTGAACTGAAAGTTGCCAAACTGTTCTAATAGAGGGGGAGAAATAGGTCTGTGAAGTCCAAAGAAAATGGACAGAACTATTCTGGAGTCATAGTCTTTAAAAATTTTATATATAATTTTGCCTTATACTTACTATTTCTCCATAGCTTTCTATGTTTGACAAAACAGCTTTTTCCTCTTCTGTCAGACTTCATGCTTCAGTCTCCTTGAAAAATCCAGCACGAGCTGTCTAAGCAGAAAATATGCTGCCACAGCATGAATTTATCCTAATGTTTGTTTTGTGGACAGTTTTGGGCCCAAGTTTGACTATCCGTGTCAGGTTCACAGTCAGATATCCAGGTTCCCCAATTTTAAAATTCTCCTTTGGAGAAATCATGCCAAAAGCATTTCCTGTCCTTTTAAACCCCATGTGTAAGTGTGTTTACCCTTGGTGGCTGACCTCAGGAGCTGCAATTTTGCTGAAGCAAAATGCTATCACATCTAAAATGAAAGAATGAGGGAAAACAGAGGGTAGTGAAGACGTGGCCTGAATGGAAATAGAGAAATGAGGGGGAAACACGGCGGGGAGTGGGAAGAGTTGAAGGAAAGAAAAGGTTAGCCTAGACACCCTCTCTCTGAATGCCAGTGCCTCCGAGGCAGGGGGAGGGCGCCTGCAGATGGGGATGGTCACCAGCCAGCCTGGGAAGGGGCAGGAGGGAATTGGGACCAGAGGAAAGACCTGGGTGAGGATCAACGGGAGAAGCACTGAGCCTGACAGCACCAAAGCATCGTACGAGGCAGCAGTCCTCCCAGCCCATCCACAGCCTGGAAAGCAGCTACTCCTGAATGGCTGCTTTCTCGCTGCTGGGAACTCCTCCAAAAACCAGATCTATGCCTCTGTCTCCTCCCCACAGCCTGGGGGGAGTGGGGTAAGGTTGTGCTAAATTGGGGCAGAGACTCCCATGGAGGTGGCAGTGTGCTGCAGGGCTGACGCTGCAGCTGTGTCTCAGCAAGATGTGCGGCATCACAGCGTGCTCCTGCTCTCTACCAAGACCTGGCTTTGGGGCTACAAGGTGAATTTATCATGGTCTTCAGCAACAAAATGACCCCACAGCTCAGGATTACTCATGTGAGCAAAGAGTAAATCTTGTATTTTTCTTTCTTCCTCTTTTATTTAGTAAGAATTATCTTCCCGTCCACGGGGAAAAAAGAGTGGGGGAAACACTGAAAGGGGACTGGAAGAAAAGAGAAGAATGAGTTAAAAGTGGTGGATAAACTAATGCCAGTCGTAATTGCATTTGTATCTGAAGATTTATGCTTGTGATGAATATATACCAATGAGATACATGAAAGGGAAAGAATAATCAATAACCACAAGTCCCACACTTTGGCAGGTGGTGACCTGCCTGGATGATGGTGACCTGCCTGAATGAAAGCACATTTTTGTCTCTAACTATGAGACACTCTTCCATCTTGGTCAACGCAGGGCAGGAGAGAATGTTCCACCTCCTGATGGACATGGCAGTACATAACACAGAGAGGACCACTGAGCCCTCGCTAGGCAAGCCCTAGGCTGTATCATTAACCGTAACTGAGGTGAGCTCTGCCACCAGGACCAACCTCTGGTGCTGAGAAAGGCTTCACCATTTGTGCAGTGGACAGGGATGATGCAAGAAGAGCAAGGAGATCTCTACCCCCTGTCCCAGGCAGCCACAACAGATGTGGGTGCAGATATCATCTTCCAGCTCCTGAGGTGATCCTGGTGAAAGACTGGCCCAAGAAGTCTGGGGTGACCAGAGAGAAGACAACTGCAGGAGAAGAGTCAGAGTACAACCTCTTATTGCTTTCCATTGCCAAATTAACTCCTAGGTCAGATACTCATTAGTGCAGTGAGGAAGGAGCCTGCAGGGCTGTGCTAGGGCTGTCCGTGTATGATGGGTAGAAGTGTTCCTCCACCATGTGATCCAATCTGGGCACCGCATGAGGCATCAGTAATAAGGCCTGGTGAGGGAAAAGGGAGATATTACAACAGTCATCTCATAAATCCCCTCCTGGGGAGCCTGAAACAAAATCCCTCCTGCCATCCATCTTGAACGGCAAGAAGCCCATTACCCCTAGCTCACGCTGAGCCAGTAGCAAGTGCTCTCCGCGTGGCTGCCAGCACGGAGGGAAAGGGGAATATAAGGGATAGAAGGCAACAGAGAAAGCCATTTTGCATCAAAGAGAATTTCCCTCCAGTCCTTGAACACATAGCACATCGATTGCTGCACGTATGTTTTGGATGCACCATTTGCTCTTCTGACACGAAACTCCTGTGAGAATTAAAACTTCCTGCAGGCGCAGGCCATGACACCAATGCCCAGCAGAAATGCTGTTACTTGGCTTAAAACGAATAACCTGCATCCACTCCACGTGTTTATGGTGTCAGACTCAGGCATTTGCTTCAGCAGTTGCCCTCCTGCGGTGAGCAGGGATCGCTTGGTTTCTCATTTAAATCCCTGCAGAGATTTAATCTCATCCTTCCATCAACAGAGCTGTCAGGGGCAACATCTCAGGGTGCAAAGGTGCACAAAAGAGTAGCATTATATCCTCTCCCCAGTAGACCCTATCGCAGGACAAGACAAACCATGAAAAGGCACAAAAATCACTGATTCACCTGAATTTCAGATTCTAGGACGCCTCTGAAACACCAGACAAAGACAGACTGTTATTTCACACCATTCACCCTCATGAATTCAAGCCACCATCTGAAGATGAGGAAAGCAGAGGGTCAGGACAGAAGGAATTTCCAGTCCTCTCAAATGTCAGATTCAGCACTAGTTTCTGCAGGATGCTTTTGAGTTTTCAAGCAGAAATAAAGGAAATCCCAGAGAAGAAAGGCGTTTGGATCCCAGCCAATATATATGCTGCACATCACAGCAGGATGGGAAAGCCACTCACTAAAATACAAGGGTACATATGCGAGTGGTGTGAAGAATTGGGCCCTAGACACATCCACAGGTGACGCTTCCACACGCCGCTCCAAGAAAAGCCATGCAGTTACATTTTCAGTGCCAAGGAATCCTAGTGACAAAGTGGTCACCATTTGCAAAATAGAAGTCAGGGCTGTTTTAATGGCAGCTTCTTACAAGCTCACAAAAATAGCTACCCTAATAAAATTATCCCTTTCCCCCCCAAATTGCTGATGTTCCTGCCACCGGCTTTCGATTTAGCAGCAACACAAAGAGAATATTCTAGGGGCACAGGGTTTTTCCCAGTAATGTCAATGCTGGGAATGATTTCATCAAGAAAGAAAAGCTGGGATTTGAGCTGCCTCAGAGCAAGAGAGCCGCTCCAAGAACAGTTCATTTTTCTATACTTTAAACACCCATCATACTTAGCTCATATTACCCACTCCCCTGCCTTGAGTATCAGAGGTTCCTAGCAGACACAGGATAAATTTTACAGGTATAACAGTGTGGCTTACCTCAACACTTAGCAGTCAACTGATAAAAGCATCACATATCCTCAGGAATGCTCCTGGGATGCAGATCCCAGCCACTGCCAGATTAGCGAGACTGAGTGACTGGCACGAGCCATGGCTGTACCACTCAGTATTTGGCAGCTTGCCTCATGCCTAGCCCGTCACTTGCCCCCCACCCCCAACCAGTGGCCAGGCCCACTGCATGAAGGTTCCTGGGCAGGTGCCCTTGACCCTGCTCCTGCACTGCAGGGAGCTCCTGGAAGGGCTGACGGCAGCATGCATCCGTCCGTCCATCCATCCTGCGGCTGCCGGGCGGAGCGATCCTCACTTTGGCAGGAGCGGGCTCCGGTGTGCTCCAGCCTGTGAAAGCCAGACCCAGCTCCCCGCACCTTTGGGCAAGCCACAGGGGACACGGAGGTACCACAGCCCCAGGGGATCAGCTGGGTGGAACTTGCTGAGGGCACTGGTGTTACCGGCGGCATTGCTGACACGAAGGGAAAACTGACACCGGCCAAGGGCAAACAGGAGGGCCCGTGGGACCAGCTCCCGTTGCTTCAGTCCAGGAGGGATGGGGACACTGGGGTGGGGAGAAAGGGAGAGTCGCTACCTGCCAGACTTTATGTCCCAGCTGGGTTCGACAAGAATCCTGCAATACCTATTCCACACCCACCTTTGCTCACAGGGTGCAGCTCTCCAGGGGTGGGAGAGGAGCTAGCAGCGAGAGGAGGCTGGTGGTGCTCGAGCAGGTGGTTTTCTCCTGTGCTGGGCAAACGAGCAGCCGGCATTAGTGGATGATAAAGCCATAGTTCAGTGGTGTACCAAAGCTTGTCCCTTCCCACTCCTGGGTCCCTAGTCGCAGGAGCTCTCCCCATCCTTGAAGAGTGAGTGTCCTGTGCCTTAGAATTGTCATCATTGCCACAGGTCCTGGGTGTCCTGCCCGACCTCCCCTCAGTCTCCACATGGGGAAGTGAGGGACTGACGTGGAGCTGGGCTGGGCGACAGCCACAGACTGGTTTCTCTAGGGGTGGGAAAGCGGGGAGCCGTGAGGAGACAGCTTCGTGAGGAGGAAGCCCAAGGAGTGTTAGTTCCTCACCAGCTATTTGCATCCTATTCATTGAATGACTCTGTTTAGAGACTTTGCAAATGAGAAAAATAGTTCATTAATATGAATACTATTTAATCTTTGCTTATTCTAAAGGAACACCTTGAGATTTAGATGAGGGATGGAAACATCTAAAATATGATCCAAGCTCCAGTGAAGTCTGAGGAAGTCTTCCAAAGGGAACTGTGAATCACGCTTTGTTCACAACCATGAAGTTTTGGTTTTATTCTCACTTATTTGTAATTCCGTCCTTTTACCTAGCAAAATCAGACCAATGTGGCTCTGCAATTTGACCTCTCAACCCCCAGCCTTCCCATTTCCTACCTGTGATCTCCCCACTGGAGCCTGCCAGCCACATTTCAGCAGAGGACCAGCCAGCCCCACAGTGCTGGGCAGCCACAGCTCAGGCTGCAGCCGTGCCAGGTCCCTCGTGCTGCTGAGCTGAGCATCCCTCACAACACCCAGGCACCCCTCAGGCTTCAGCTGCTCCATCAGATTCAGGGAGTGAGTCTCCCCATCTCTGTGCCTTTTTTTGAACACAGCTGGGACCTCATCACTGTCATTTTTTTTTATAATGGTGCTCCTGTTAAGATGAGGTAGTATCCCCCCAGCTAATGCTTCCCTGTGAGAAATGAGGTTTCATCATAAATATCACTTCTCTCTCCCTCTCGCTTCTCTCCTCCCTCTGCGACACGTTCTGCAATAACGTGACAGCACAGCAGGTGAAAACTTCACTGGAAATTCATTTAAACACCTAATGGTCAAAAGGGATCCTGGGAGCTGGGACACCTGGATTTTATTTCTTGATTTGACTTTGACCCATGGCATGGCTTCATTACACCTTTTTATACCTCCCAAAGACACTGAAAAAATAGCATTTATAAAGTGCTTTCACGTAAGCATTGCAGCAGCACTCTCTGGGAAGGCATCTCATCTGCATGTGAGCTGTGGCGTCCTGCCGCTCCCCGTGCCAGCTGGTGAGACCCAGGGGGGTTGGCTCCTGCCCTGGCCTGCTGACAGTCCCTTGCAGAGAACCACGGCACACCGCAGGCCTGCAGACAGACTGCCACTCCCACCCTTTCAGCACATGCCCTTGCTACCCCCCCCTTCCTCCACCAGGTACTGGCACCTCTGGCTGGCCACCTCACCTCCAGGCAGCCACAAAGGGGGTTGTTTTCCATCTTTGTGGTTCTCAGAGGGACCCCGATGCAGGCAGATGCTCCCACCCCAGCCTCCGTGGTGCTTCCCCTGACCAACGCAGGGTTGGGGAGATGGTTCACTTGTGCCTGTGAGCACTCAGGCTCTTCCAGCTCTTGTCCTCCAGGACACGCTGTGCTGGTTTGCGAGAGCTACTCAACCTAAAGATGTCGATGCCTTGTGCTGAATCACTTCTGTTACCGCACTAAGTGAATGTTGTACTCCACAACTCCCAGTCCAGCTCCTAACAGCATGGGTATGAAGAAGACCGCCAGCCATAAGTGCATGGCTACCGATCACTCCTTCCCTGCAGCCAAACTCACTGTGACCTGGAGAAATCTCTGACTGAGCCCATCCTCTTCCCTGGTAAGGTCAAGTTATGCAGACTCCACATCTGCAAGTCACCCCAGTTACTTACCATTAGCTTTCTTGCCAGGAGCATGACGCTTTGTGACCTGCTCTCTGCCCTTTGCCACCAGCTCCCACCAGTCCCCGCTCTCACCAGCCGGCTGTTTCCAGCCCTTGTCTTCCCTGAGGTCCAGCATTACCAGTCCTTCCTTAACAAGGCCTCCACTGGCTGGATGCTGAACTGGGAAGTGCAGTACCTCAGCCATAGCGAAACAGTGCTATGTGTGAGTTGGGATTCCCTGTACGTTATTCAGCGGATGTAAAGTCACAGAAGTTAAAAGCTTGGACATTTCATGGGCTGTAATCCTCTCTGTCCTCCCCTGGTGTCCCGCGTGGCACCATGAGAGCGGCTGCCAGGTACACCAGACACCGTTTCACAACCTTAACTCCGCTCCAGGAAGGCTGCCGGCGCCGCGCGCAGCCAGGCTCCTCCAGCCTGCCCACTCGCCATCTGTCCTGCCCGTTCCAGGCATTTTTCTCCCTCGCTTTTGCAGTGGTGGACGAGATGTGCCGCGGGCAGAGCGGTCGGCGCTCAGGGAGGAGCTGGCATGGGCAGCTCTGGGTGGCAGCCTCCACCCCTGACCTGCCCCGCGGGCCCCTCGGATGCAGAAACATCGCTGCCGTAATAGCTCGTCAGCTATTCGGCATGCTGCTGCTTAAACAAAGTTACCCCGTTATAGTTTTGGGTAGTTAACAAAGGCGGTATAACAACTGTGCCCTCAACAAAGTGTCACGATGCACTACTTTTAACTTTACAGTTAAGCTCAGAGGATCCCAGTGAATGATTAAAGTCTGAAAGTGAACTCTGGAGTGAACTATATTTTCCGTGAT